GGGTTTAGGGGTTTAGGGTTTACGATGTTTAGGGTCTAGGGTTTAGGGTTTAGGGCTACGACCTAAACCCTAAGCATTGGAAGCCCAAACCCAAACCCGAAAAACCCTAGGGCGATTCGGGATTGTCAATAATACAGTCTTGAGACTTGTGTGTCCTTTCCAAATTAGAAGTTTTGAGAATTTGGGGCTACAGCTAGGGCTTAGGGCGCTGAGGCTTTAGACTGTGAATCTTGCACGACTTACCGTACTACGGTACCATCATAACTAAAATCGTCGGGGTCCTGAGAGCGACGGAGGCCGCGACAATTGGAGAACGAAACCTGAAGGCGTCTAAAGAACAAGGCAAGAAGCAAACAGTTGACAAACGTTTAAGCTATCAACCGGCGCTTCACCCAAAAGTACCCAGCCCTCATTCACCTAAGCATACCCAAGCCCTTAACCTGAAACCCTAAGCCCCAAACCTTAAACCCCAAACCCTAAAGCGTAACCCGAAATCTCGTAAGCCTATAAGGCCTACGGCCCAAACAGCAAGCTGAGACGACCACTTCGAAGGAACCTGCATGAAGTGAAAGAACAGGGTGTAGTACCCAGGGTTCAGGGTTTTGGGGTTTGAGGGTTCAGGGCTGAGAATTTCGGATTTAGGGTTTAAGTATCGCACAGGCGCCAGGATGGAGGCAGAGTGCTCTAATGCTCTTAGTTTCAGGGATTCACGTACCATGATCTATCATCTGCGTTGGTGTCTCAAGGTCTCATAGCAACACGCACTCATCGCTCAGGATGGAGGGTGTTTAGGCGGAGTCTGATGGAGGGGGGCGAGCTCGGACTTTGTGTTCGGGTGTTTCAGAGCGGGATTGAGCTCTCCTAGAAAGCAAAGAGCAGTTTGCCTTTTCCATAAAAGCCCCTAAAGCCCTAAACTCTAAACCTCAATCCCTAAACCCCAAAGCCTACATTCTAAACCCTAAATCCCAAACCCCAAACCCTGAACCCTTAACCCTAAATTCTAAGCCCTAAACCCCGAACCCTAACTTCTAAACCCTAAACCCCAAACCCTAACTTCTAAACCCTAAATCCCAAACCCTAAACCCTATAAACCCTAAACCCCAAGCCCTGAACCCCAACTCCCCAAGCTCCGGGTGTAGGACAACTTCGGGGCTTCGGTGATCTTACTGCGGCCACACTCCACGGGGTTTTAGGCTCAGGGAGTCTTAGCTAGGGCTTTAGGGCTTTAGGGGATTAGGGGTTTAGGGGTTTAGGGCTTTAGGGGTTTAGGGGTTTGAAATAGGGGCCTTAATGATTAGCATAGGGTTTTGGGGCCCCTTATACTGAACTTATAATAAGGAACCCCCAAAATAGTATCGGCAGTAATTCAGGCCCCCTTGGATGAAGGATCTCAGCATGTGCAGGCTTAGAGAACGGGCTTCGGTGCAAAGCCTCAAACCGAAAGCCTTAAACAGCGACAACCCTGGAAGGTACTCTAAACCTCTTACAAACCCTAAAGACACAAAGTCCTTGTAAGCCTTTTAACCCTGAAACCCTCAACCCTGAAACCCCAAAGCCCAAAACCCAAAACCCTAAAGCCCTAAACCGAAAACCCTAAAGCCTAAAGCCCGAAACCCTAAACCCCAAAGCCCTAAAGCCCCAAACCCGAAAGCACAAAAACCGAACCCTGAAACCCTGAACCCCAGAGCCCTCAACCCTAAACCCACAAAAGCCGAACCCCCCCTAAACCCTAAACCCTAAACCCTAAACCCTAAACCCTAAACCCTAAACCCCCAAAGTCCCTGTATACTTTCGGCCTGGTACTGTCGGCTTGCTCAGCCAGTAGACTCGCTCGGTCGCCTGGGAAAGCTCGTGGTTTGGGGCTTACTTGGGGTTTAGGGGTTCAGGGTTTAAGGGTTAGGGTTTTAGGGGTTCAGGGTTTAAGGGTTAGGGTTTAGGGGTTTAGGGGTTTAGGGGTTTAGGGTTTAGGGGTTTAGGGGTTTAGGGGTTCAGGGTTTAGGGTTTAAGTAGGGGTGAATGTACAGGGCTTAACAGTCACAACAGGATTTCTGCAAAGTGTTTTGCTTACAGGTTTTTCTATAAGGAGGGTTCCGCAAGGACGGGCCGGTTAGGGTTCAAGACGGGAGCTTGAATAATCCGAAGAAGCCTTTGTGCTATGCCATATATAATATAGTCATATTAGGATTGAGAGGAAATCCTACGTATGCCAAAGTACTGAGAGTGGGATCTATGCGCCGGTGTAGTGCAGGGCGGAAGGGCTTACGGCTTCTAGTTCAGGGTTCGAGGAGTACCTAGAGTCTCCATTGTAGTTCCTTTTTTTGGTTTAACCAATTATATATTAAGGACTTTATAAGGTTTCCCCAAAAAGGAACTACAATGGAGACTCTAGGTAGGACTGACAAGGATGATGAATCTGTTCACAGAAACACCATCGAAAACCACAAGCCATTATTAGGAAGGTTCTGTCAGAGCTCTTTGAGGGTCTGATACGGCTTTCACGGTTAAGCTAAAATAGGTACAGGGACCAGAGCCAAAATTCAAGGCCCTCAAAGTCGTGTTTAAACCTGAAGAAGGCGACACCTACCGCGAAACTGGCGTTGCCAATCCCATCGATGCTCACCAAGACGCTAAGATAATACAGCTGCCGCCTGGGGTAGATTTAACATGGCTATACCCACAGGCCCCATAGTAGTTCCTTTTTTGAGATTACCTTATATCATTCTATATATGAACCCCAGAAAGGAACTACTTCAGGGCCTATGGGTAGTCCGGAATGTGATGTTCCGGCTCCTATATATTGCTCATGCGTGAGCCGCTAGACCCTGACCATGAAAAACAGACCGAACCCAAAGAATCGAATACCCCTTAATTTATTAAGGGTTTAGGGTTTAGGGTTTAGGGTTTAGGGTTTAATCAAAGAATACAGTTACAGCCTACCCATAGGCCCCATAGTAGTTCTTTTGTGGGGTTCATATATATAGCATCCTAAAAGGTAACCCCCAAAAGGAACTACTATGGGGCCCATGGGTAGAGCAACGTGTTTTGGGTTTGGGGTCGGCGAATTGATTGGGGATTCCAGGGCTTACAGCGCTTGCAGTGCTTTTCAGTATTCCTACAGTCCCCAAATCCCGAAGCCTCAAGCCCTAACCCTAGATAGAAGGTGGTCACCAGAAAGATGAGCTGCGAATCGATGATCTCCAGCAAGCTCCTTCTCACCAGCCTGTGGATAGGGACGTGGGCACTGGGGGCTCTTGGCTTAGGGTTTGAGGGTTGAGGGTTTTGGGGTTTAGGGTTTAGGCGTTAGGGTTCAGGGTTTTTAATCGGAACCATGTCGGTCCGGGGCGGGGGATAGGCCAAAGGCCTGGGATTTAGAGATCGGGTGTCTGTTCCGGGATGTAGATTTCGGGCTTACCGTCCAACCCTAGGTCAAAAAGCTAAGAATCCCTCAGCCCGAACCTCACAACTCCAACCCTGAACCTTCAACCCAATGCCACTTTTAAGTGCTGGCCTCTGTAACTGACTGGGCTTGCGAATACCCCATCAATTCGGGTTTGTGCGGTTCAGGGTCTTCTGCGAGCCACCACTCGTCCTGGCATGCATACGATTTGGTTTAAGGGGTCGACGTAATCAGAACAGTGTCTGCGAGTATACTCCTACGGACCTTATACCTGCAATTAAGAACCCCAGAGTCCCCCAAGGACAAACCCTAAATGCGAACCCGCAAAACCCTGCACAAGGCAGCATGCTACCTTTACCACCCCTAAACCCTAAACCCCATGTAAAGCCCTACAGCAAACAGCGGCACCAAGTCCTGCAGACGCCCTTTGTCAAACGTGACAGAGCCGCGCCCTGTAAACCCTGAACCCTAAACCCTCAGCAAAGCCCTGTAACTACTTATGATTCCGTTAGGGACCCCTTAAGGTTCACTTTACGGGGGCCCCAAACGGGGAACCCTTAAGAAGCCCTTAGTAAACCCTAGAAAACCCATCCAAAGGAACCCCGAAGGGCTGGATTCAGTCTCTTGGGTTGGGTTTAGGGTTTAGGGTTTAGGGTTTAGGGTTTAGGGTTTCATTCTCTTAGGGTTTGGGGAAAGGGTTCAGGGGATGAGGGGTTTGGGGTGTAGGGGTCTCGAAATTTCGGGGTTGAGGGGTTTAAAGCCCTAAACCCTAAACCCCTAAACCTTTGAGCTTACCTAGACGCCCCAACTACCCTCTATTATTATCCCCTAAATACCCACTATTAAGGACCATAAGGGCTCTATTAAAGGGCCATGGGGGGGTTCCCGAATTCCGCCCGGCCTCCTTCATCACGAGGCTGTTGGCCAATTCCCGAAGGAAACTGCTGGTGCTGCCGCTGGTGCCCAGCTGATGCCAACTGGGGCAGATTAGGGCTCAGGGAGCATAGGGGTTAGGGTTTAGGGATTAGGGTTTAGGGAGTATAGGGGGTTTACGGATGAGGCCTCAGGGAGTGTAGGGGTTTAGGGTTTAGGGAGTATAGGGGTTTAGGGATGAGGGTTCAGGGAGTATAGCGGTTTAGGGTTTAGGGTTTAGGGAGCATAGGGGTTTAGGGATTAGAGTTTAGGGACTTCTGGGTTCTGGCTGAGGGGTTTAATCTAAGTTACCAGAAAAGGGACCCATAGTACATAATATCGTTTCCTTACTATTGAAACTAACTTAAACTAAACCTCTTGACCCCGAACCCAGAAAAGGGGTTTCGGAATTGGGGCTCAGGGATGAGGGTCTAAGTATGATCAGGCTTCAGGGATGAAGGTATAGCGCTAGGGTCTTGGGATGTCCCGGGATTAGGGTTTAGGTAGGGGTTGAGGGTTTAGGGTTTCGGTAGGGGTCTTGGGATTAGGGTTGAGGGATTCGGGTTAAGAGTCTAGGGCTTCGTGGTACTTTAGGCACTTCAAACTGCTAAATGGATGTTGCCAGGTCATTCTCGGGGCTCTACCAGGATATACCGTATAGCTCGCAGGTTCAGTTTCGCAGGGCCGGATAGACACCTACTTGTTCATGTACCACGGTGTGTGATTATGTGGTTTCGGGGTTTCTGCTTTCAGGGATTTGGGCAGGGCAGGCTTTTGGACGTAGGGTTTTCTTAGGGTTTAGGGTTTTGGGCTAAAGTTTAGGGTTCATCTTAGTTTAGTTCATGCAGGGAGATTCTCACTAGCACTTTTCAGGAAGCACTTGCAACTCTGCAGAGGCTAGTGCCACAGATGAGGTCAACTCTGGCCAGCACAGCTCCCTAAACCCTAAACCCTAAACCCTACTGACCAAAGGCAGTGCCTGTACTTCTTTGAAGCCCAGTGGGAGCACTGCTATCTGCGTGACAGGCTGCAAGGGCTTAGGGTTTTGGGTTTAGGGCTTAGGGTTTAGGGTTTAGGGTTTAGGGGCTTAGGGTTTAGGGTTTAGGGCTTAGGGCCTTCATGTCGCACATAACACTAAGCCTGCCGCAGTCTCCTGAAACCTTGCAAGAAGCAACGGAGGCTTGACAGTCCAAACACCAGCGCCTAAGCCGCGCATCCCGAAGTTCTATACCCCTCCCAAAATCGCTACATCCGAAGCCCTTAAGCCGCAAAACTACTTGAGCCCCACTGCCAGAAATTCTAGCCCCGAAATGACCTCAACATGCTGAGCTATCAATCGGCTACCAGACTCCTCCAGAACTCCATCAAACCTACAATAAAACCTCACAAGGGCCTTGCAAACGGAAGGCCCCAACAAAAGGCTTAATGTAGGGGCCTTAATCAGGGGTTCCTTGTATTGTAGTTATAGTATAATGGGACCCAAAACCCTATTCTACTCATGAAGGCCCCGAAAATACACCTCGCGGACGCCTGGCAATTTGAACCGGCTGAAGCGCCCGGAAGAGCGGGCGGTTAAACTGAGAGACCATGGTTTGGGGCGTTAGGGCTTAGGGTTTCAGGGTTTAGGGTTTGAGGGTCTTAAGGTTTGAGGGTGTTAGGGTTTGAGGGTTTATAGGGTTTAGGGTTTGAGGGTTTTAGGGTTTGAGGGTTTATAGGGTTTAGGGTTTGAGGGTTTGAGGGTTTGAGGGTTTGAGGGTTTGAGGGTTTGAGGGTTTGAGGGTTTATAGGGTTTAGGGTCTTGGGGCTTTAGGGTTTCATAGCACACTTGTAAAAGCCGCGGGGTGGGGAGGGGCGGTAAGTTTGGGGTTCAAAAGTTCAGGGTTGAGGGGGGGGGAGGGCTCTTTGGAAGGATGTAAGCAGGGTCAGGGCCTGAGTTGATTTTTGGGAGTTTTGTGGGTTCAGGGTTTAGGTGCCGAAAGCGTTTAGGGTTTAGGGGCCGAAAGTGCTATAGTTCAGGGGGTATGGGACTTAAGGGCTGTGAGGCCTGGGGCTTTTAAACTAATAGAGGGGCCTTAAGAATTAGAACAGGGTCTTGGGGGGGGGTCCTTTATAGTATGATGATGAGAAGGAGTCCCCCCAAAGTAATAGAAGAAAGTCTTGAGGCCTCTACGGGTTTAGAGGGCCTAAGGTTAGGGTTTAGGGTTTAGGGTTTAGGGTTTAGGGTTTAGGGTTTAGGGTTTAGGGTTTAGGGTCTCGGGTTTAGGGTTTTGAGGGCCTGAGGCTTAGAGTTGGGGAATGATGCCTTTCTAAGTAAGGTTCGGAGATGCTCCGCCAGGTTGATCCTGATGCTTGATGGGAAATGGCCGCGCATAAAATGCCGCTTCAAAAGTCTGCAGGAGCGTGAGCAAACCCCTAAACCCTAAACCCCAAACCCTAAAACCCTAACCCTAAACCCTAAACCCTCAACAGCTCTAACAGAGCAGCCACCCCAAGCCACAAAGCCCTGCGGTCCGAATATCCTGAAGCCCTTGTGCCCAAGCCTTAAACCTAAACCTTGAGGTCTAGGACATGGGTAAATTCAAAGCCTGCTTTTCAATCGCCCAGATCCCCCAACCCTGCCGCAGCTTTGTAGCCAACTTACCCTCCCGCATCGGGTTCGGGGTTATATGCGGTATTAGGGTATGGGGCTTAGATAGGATGATAACTTAAGGGAGGGTGCTGGAATCAAGGTGTGTGTCTTGCTATTCGTACGATTCGCATGCCAAGGCATTGAGTTGTGAAAAGAGATGGGGGCCAAGTCCACGTTAAGCTTCATGGACTTTTAAATATATCTAAAAACAATGGGTCCTTCAAGCCCCAAGCCCTGAATCCTGCACCCCAACCCGCACACCCTAAGCATGTCAGAGGCATGAACAGCAACGCGCAAACACAATTTCCTGGGGAGACTATATGATAGTGTTCTTAGAACTAGCCTTCCCTGCTCTCACATGCTAGACCCAACACAATGCTAGCTAAAGAACACATTCACCATCCAAGTGAGCCCAACATCTCATGTGATTATCCTAGCCTTGCTTTCGCTCTCACTAAAAGCTGTGCAATACGAGCTACTACAAGGGTCACCACAAGGACTACTATAAGTTCACTAGAAGGGCTGGTATAGTGGATGCCAAGAAAATCTACTACAAGGGCTGCTATAACAAGGATCACTAAGCCCTAAGCGGGTTACATCAAGTGGCTGCCATAAGATGCCATAAGTAAGGGCTACTGTGAGGGTTACTCCCAGGGCTCTACAGTCTATACAGTTTGCGAATCCCGCCTGTCAGTGCTTGCTGGGTTTCCTGGCGAATGCTGTTACTACCACGGCCTGTCTCTGTACCAGAGCAATCCTACAGACTCCGTGTCGGCTTCCTACAATTCTGATTGCCGCATGTGGTTCGGCTACCGCCCGCAAGAGCGGGACAAACAACAATTCTGGTTTGTTCTGTTTACAATCTTATACAAACACACACAAAAGTTCACACTCCACCCTGGAGGCAAACGAGGTGCCTAGACCCTGAACCCCGGCAAGAAGCCACACGGTTTTGCAGCCATCCATGAAGTGTCGCATGTTTCGGCACTTGACATCGAACAGTTGTGAGCATGCAGGTGCCTCCACCCTGGACCCTGTTGCTTACATTACAGGGCCCGAAATATGTACAGAGCCGTCATTCACGAAACCCGAAACGAGACCACGATCGCAACTTAACAGCCCGAAATCCCAATTCAGCCCCCACCGTCACCTTAGCCTCTAAGCCCAAAATCTGACAACCAAGGAAGCGTACTGCAGCATTCGGAGACTATTGGAAGACTCGGTAAACCCTATATACTCACCCTGTACCCTAAATCCTGTCTGAAAATGCTGACCCGAGCAGGCCCTGTACTGGTGATGATTCGCGACAACTCAAAAAAAAGGAAGATTGGTGATGACTAGGGTCCTTATAAAGGAATACTGGTGATTACTAGTGGGTCTTTACAGGGTGCCCGGCCTTGAAGCCCTGAACCCTAAATCCCCAAAAGCCTACACCCTAATTCCGCATTAAACCCCACACCCTAAATTCCTAAACCCGAAACCGAGGTTTTTGTTTTGTTAAGGGTCCATTTCCGTCTGCTCATGTCTGAGCTCAAGAATCCTCATTCGGTTTAGGTGGGTTCAGGGTGTGGCGCAGATCCCTAAACCCTTAACCCTGAACCCCTAAACCCTAAACCCTAAACCCCCAAACCCTGAACCCAAAACCCCTAAACCCTAAACCCCTAAACCCCTAAACCCTAAACGCAGGGTGAGGCACACGTGTCTCAGCTATCCAGCTCAATTTGCAGAGCCTCGCAGTCTGCGAGAAGTTGCTCCAGCTGCCGCAGCTCAGTCTCGATCCTCGGAGCATGCTATATTAGGTGTCTGTACATGTATGTATATATATATATATATATATGTATATATGTATACATAGCATACATACATACATACATACATACATACATACATACATACATACACACATACATACATACATACACATATA